GGCTCCCTTTCCAGCACCCATCTGAATGCAAGCCTCCTGAGGCAGAAGTCGGAAAACAAAATTGGCAGTAACCATGGTAAGTTCGAATTGTGTGTGTGTGGCATAGACTTGGCGAAGACTCCCAGTCCCAAATCACATAGGAACATTTACATCTCCAACGGACATCTCCAAAGAAGCCCCTTGGCGGGAGACTTCGGCCCTCACCCCTGGCAGGAGATCCGCATGACCTGATTTCTTTCCAATCATTGCACATGCTGCACATGCTTCCTGTTCAGTTTTGCTCCTCGTGCCTGACTATGACTAGGCAGAGTCAGCGCCAGACGCAGGCACCGCACCAACATCCGGACTGGCGTGCTCTTTTAACCCTCTTCTTGCTAAGTCCGTCGCGGCCAGCACAATCCCGGATCAGGCGTGCGGCCCCTGCAGCTTCAGGTATTGAACTTGGATGTTTCGGCTTGTTTTCAGATCGTACGTGAAGTCCTGTTATCGTTGCTTCCATGAGGTGATGCCGATACTCATCGACATCCGAGAATACGTTCGTCAATTGGGCTGTCCCCTCTACTTTTTCCGCAACATTCTGGTCTGCCAACACGTCCAGCAAAGATGTGAGCCCTCCGCAGGCCTCGGAGATGGCATGTGGCAATCAAATGCCCAGCCACGAGGATGTTTGGAAAACGGACTGGTCCTACTGACCTACTTCATGGTGTACGAAACAAAACGGTAGTTTTCTCTGATTTCTTTAACTGAGCTGTTACATGCTGATCACTATTCGAGGCACCATGCCCAACAGCAAGGCAAGGGATTTGGTACAATTTGGTATTTAGGCTACAAGCAGCGCACAAATCCACGACAGAGTCCAGATTTCAGCACTCCGTCTTGAGCGCGCAAATGCTGCGGAAACGTGCCACAAGAGTGCTGCTAGGTCAGCAGCAGCCTCAGCAGAAAGCATGACCTGCATATCAACAGTCTTCACGATGCAGCGAAGCACGATACACTGCGAGCCAGACTTCGCGCAAAGCGAGAGTGAGAGAGAGAGAGAGAGGGAGGTCCCAGTATGTATCTATATGGACACGCAGTCCATGATCCACCGACCCCTCAGAACAACGTAAATACGGCTAGACCAAGCATTCTCGGATGATAGGATTTTCGACCTCCTAGTTTTGCCCTGGGCTTGAGCTAGTTCCGTCTGTATTCAACACTATTGTACTAGTTCAATATCGCCATCATGCGGAAATGCACGGCAACAACAACGACGACGACGACGACGACGACGGGTAACTATGGTGGCTGACATTTTTTTTAATGATCATTTGTTGCTTTGCTAGGAACTTGTTTTTGAAAGGAAAACTATGTTTTTCCAAGCCCGGGCTTTGAAAAAACAACTTTTCATAAGACGAATATTTTTTAGCCAGCCACCATGATTCCCAAACAAGTTGTGTGTTTTGTTGTTTTGGCGATTTTCTGGCTTCCTGTGCTTCCATAATCTAGTTTCTTAATCTACACTCTATTGAAGAAATGAAGAAAACGCGACTTTTGGCCACCACTATAGTTGCCACCAAGGTTGTTTTTGTTGTTTTCGCTTGGAAAATCTAATTTCCTCTGCAACCAGCTTTCCCCTGGGGCGTTTGAGGTCATATAAGACATGAATCAAAAGGGCATAGGGATCTCCTTCATTTCCCAGGCCTCTGTTGTTTATGTTGCTTTTATAAATGAAGTCATACAAGGGAACCCATAGGAAACCCAATAAGAAATAGGGGCTCCTTCATATTCTGGGTTTTGGCTGGTTGTAAAAAGTCCTTATGCACGATTTCATGTAAACGAGCCCAGAGAAGACAAAATCAGAATCAGTGATGCTCCTTTTTCTGTGCCTTTCAAAATGTTTCATATACAAACATATACAGGAGCCCAAAGGAAATGGAATTGTAATTTGGGATTCCTCGATTTCCAGGGTGTCTTTTGCTCTTGTCAGGCCCTTATAACTGTAGACGAATTTCCAACATGCTATGTCAAACCGACGCTCAAATGGCATGATGAGGAGTGAATGCTAAAGCAGGATCCTTCTTTTGCGATCCGACGCCATGCGTCGTTGCGGGATGCATCGCCGGAGCGGCCCGTGTGGTCCGTGTCGCGTTTAGTCCCGAACACAAACCCTCAAGGTGTGGGAGCGTGGGAAAGAAAATCGGGCGCACGGCGAGCAGCTGGCAGCCTCGCAACGCCGACGCATGCAACAACCCTCCCAAAGGAAATCTACTTGAGAAGTAGAGGTCTCGTTCATTTTTAGGTCTTGGCTGTTGGTATAAGGTTTTAGAAGGAGTTTATCTAAACAAGCGCAAAAGAAATATGAAACCCCTATAAAGAACCCCAAAAGAACATGAACTAGAATTAAAGATCTCCTGTCTTTTTTGGTTTCTACTGTTCTAGTTTTGGTACGTGTTTTCTATACCGCATAGAAAGTCCGCATATGTCCGCGTAAGTTGGTTTCAGATGAAATTGGTATGGAACAATCAATTCCTCAACACAGTGTTCCTTTCTTCATACAACTGTAAAGTATGTGGGTACGAAACCAAAAGTATGTATTTACTGCTGGAAAAGGACTCTCCCGCGGATCATAGGGGGGGTAAGAGAGAAAGAACGAGAGAAGAGCGTGAGATGTCGCCAAGTCATCCCAATTATTTCAAGCTGATGCTGCTCCAGCATGCGTGGCAGCCCCACTTCGTAGATGCCGTTGAGCACGTCGTTGGTGCCACGTCGACCGGATATGCAACTTGGGCACAGCGTGCTTTTGAGGCAACAATGCAAGCTGTGCTGTGCAAATGCAAAACTGACATCATCAAGGCAAGAAGCGCGAGCGGCAACATGCCTCCATGCCTAATTAATGACCTCCACCGCTTCGACACCACTTCAGCCCAATGCGCTGAGCTCGCAGCACTCGGCATGGCAAGGGTGCTGGTCTTCGCAATGACTTAGAAGCACCTGCCGGAGCCGAAGCCAGGTGCACGCGCAGGCTATTTACTCCGCCACACCTGCAATATTGACAGAAAGACTTGACCTTTGTCCGCTTTGGCCACTGCAACCCTGAGAAGTGCCTTTAATTAGACACGCCCTGTCTGATTGGAGCTTGTCTGCGAGTGCGTGTATAAGCCAACGGTAGAGAGCTGGAAATCACCTTGCCTGGAATGGAGCAGTTTATAAACATTTGTCACCCCACCAGGCAAGTACCAAATTCTGTGGACGTGCACAAGGCTACTAAAAGCCCGTTTCATCTGACATACTGCCATTTGCGATAGGATTTCCAAAGCCGAGAGGCACCCAGTGCTCGGAGGAGCGTTGCTCTTCCCTCAACTCCTGACCAGCTGGAGAGGGAGTTGCTACTCTGCTTACGATGTCCAAGTTTGCCAGGAAGTTAGTCATGTCAAAGGCTGACACATTGGAAGTGCTGATGATCCTGCTGAAGATTGCAGTCGCCAAATCTTGATTTGTAGCAGTTTTCTGCCTGTGCCCTCGCGCCATAAGCCCATGTGCACTGCAACCTGAAGCAAGCAACCGCGTCTCGCACAACGTTGAGGGAGATACAAGAACCAGCACTTCTTACGCACAAGCTGAGCAAGGCCGCTGCTTGACCTGCTCTGTTTGTTAATGGGCTGCCAGATACCTGGCACAAAATACTTCAAGTAGTTATAACTCGTGGCGCAGTGAAAGCTCAAGTTTTGGTCTTCGAGCATGTCGCATTAAAGTCTATTCTGGTCACAGCATGGCGGTGCGGGCGAAGAACTGCTTCCCTAGATCTGCGCAACCAGACGGGCCAACCCCTTTCTCTGGCAAGTTGTTGCCAAGAACCTTAGCGAGCTATACTTGAAGTGCCATCCAGACTTTGGGAGATGGCTGGTCCAGGCACCCAACCAGGAAGTGCAAAATGTCCCCAGACACATTCACGGCCCGGCAAGCAAACTTGCAGAAGAGACTGCCGCGACAGTAGCCTCAGGCAGTGTGATCCGACATGGAATCATGACGCAACCGCGGAAAGGACTTCGGCAACTCGTCAGGCACTGGGCTTCTTGAACAACCGAGAGGCCATGCAGCACCATCTCCTGTGACCAAATCTGAGACGCTTCAAACTGCCCAAATACTATCGTGCTACATCCTTGCCTCGCCGGGTAGGGGATCTTCTGCTGTCAGGTCCACCTCCTTCCCGCCACGGCTACATTCATGACATGGGCCGTCTCTCATGAATCGCAATGCATACCAACATCCTTCCGTCATGGTTGATGAGACCGCCGCCTAGAGCACACCTCCCTGGGCGCTCACACCTACTGTGCTACAGGCTTCGAGTAAAAAGTCCCGAAGTGTGAGTGAGAGCATGTTCCCCGTCCTGTGGCTGCTGGCTCTTTGGTAGGTCTGCGGCGACTTCGGAAGAGATTCGAGCGATGGCGACCTTAGCTTCCCCGTGGCTGTACGCTAGCCCTCTGCAATGAGTCAAGAACAGACTCAAGGCTTGTGCCATCGAGGCAGGCGCATGTGGAGTCATCTCTACGAGAACTTCTGCAAATGCAACTCCGACTTCAAGCATGACGAGACGTTTTTTCTTGGGATCTGTGAGCTGCACTCCCAACCCTCAGGGTTGGTGGGTGCAGAGGCTCGTGAGCAAAGCCGGAAGGAAGGGATTCCCCGTTTCCGACAGTTGAGGACACACAGCAACATGCCCAATCGGCCCAGCAGGTCGTGGGAAGTTCGGTCTGCCAATACGTACATTGCGCATGGGCCTGCAAGCTCTGAGCGTGTCCAAGTGAATATTAATGTATGCAATGGAAGGGCTAGAAACCTGGAATTCTGTCTGCTGTCTACCCCTTTGCTTCCTGACCCCCGGAGGCCCTGGGCTTGGGATGCTGCCAAGTTTGCCACTTGGCCATCTGCCTTCTGGCATATTAGGCCACTTGGCAAACAATGCAAGATTCCGAGAGCTTTGGCAGCTTGGTTGTGTGGCTGCTTCGGATATTGAATGCTCATTGTGGCATTGCTTTTTTCACCAGTGCTTCATACTCATCAATGTCGAGTCGGTCATCACCTCAGTCAGCTTATGAAGTGCCTCGCTCCGTGAGCGAGCAGATGCTAGCGCTATTACTGATGTCAGCGTGTGCTGCGGCCGATTTCCTTGCCAACGAGCTGACTGGCATGCAAAATTAAGGAGCATTAACCTTGAGCAACCTTTGGCTAACATGCGCCAGTGCAGCTGCAGTTACCGTTCAAATCAGCTGCGCGGAATACCTGCGCCACCTGAAAAGATTACAGCTCTTCACGGGCACTCCGTACCGAAAAAATAAAGTGTAGCTTGAGACGCCATCCAGAAGGGAATCCTACTTCAGCATGCTCAATAGGCGTGCTGACATGTAATGGAAGCCTGGTCTGAGGTCAGGTTGACTCCGAGGGTCTGCAGAACAGCTTCCAGCTCATTGACTTCGATGAAGCCTGGCCATCATGCTGGTTCCTCTGCTCCATTGGGCTGGCCCATATTTTGGCTGAACCGATGCTTGTCCAAACCTGCCCGCTGCCCTTGTTGATGAAGCTTGTTAAACGTAGGCAAGGAGCATGCCCAGTTGTTTGTCCCAGTGTCTGAACAAATAAGCCGAGCAGCCGGACTTGTTGGTGTCAATCGCCCTAAATGCAGCCTGGAACTTCAGCTTCATCTCAGCCTAGCAGCATCAACAATAGCAGCATGCGGCCTAGCCCATTGACCTTTCACAGTGGCTGGCTTAGATGCCACTACCTGTGTTCTCGCACCAGGTTCAAAAGTGCAGCGCGAACAACACAAATATCAGCCAGAGCGCGTCATCAATGGTAGCTTTTGGATCTTTTGCCTCGCGCGGCACGGCATCCAAAGACAGCATGCCTAACATGCAAAAAGAGTTGATGAGGTCTTTCGCTGGGTCCCCTTTCCAACTCCTGACTCTCTTGGAGCCACGGCCCGGTTCCTGATTTTGAAGGAGCTTATTAAGCTAGTTGTGGCGTGTCATGGACACAGGGCTCACCAACGTCACGAGATACGGTTGTTAGCAAAGGATGAGTCTGGTGCTGGCGCTGCAGCTGCCGTCTAGTTTGCGCTAGCTGCTGTGCTGGATGCTGCGCACCCGACTTCTGGATGCTGAATCTGATGTTGTTGCTGCCTGCACCACCTAGTGTTGCCCAAGTAATCGATCTTTGGTCTTGTGCAATCCCGCCGCAACCCAATACTCGCTCTGCCAATGCAAACGTCTGCTTGATCTTCCAAAATCCTCCCCTGCCTTTTCTCTATCATTCCCCTTGCACCTCTGTGCTATGGTCCAAACGTCCTTCAAACATCCTCTCGTAACGAGCGTGCATCCTATGCCAGTGTCACAAGGGAAGCCATCAACAAGGATAAATTTGAGGCTGCATTTTCTGCAAGGCTACCGCATGTGCCTGTCACGTGGCAAATAAGGTGTGAACAGACAAGGCGATGGAGATTAGGCCTCTGCAGCTGCAGGCTCGGCAGGTTCTGCAGGCCCAGCAGGTGCTGCAGGCTCGGCAGACTCAGCAGGCTTCTCCTGCTCTCAACCGGAGCCAAGGCCACACTAACACTACTTGGCGCAATGCAGAGGCAACGCTGACACAACTTCTGAAGTTTGATGCCTTGCTCATGTGTGGCTTGAATAGCTGAAGCAAGCACGAGGGGCTGGGGCAAGTCTCCCTGAATTGCAGCAGGCCTCCGCAGCTGTATCCGCGGGCTTTGTGACATCTGCGGCCTCTGCGGCTGCCTCTGGTGGCTTCGCAGCATCCTTTGAGCGCACACAAAGGTAGCAATGCGCACATGTGCACCCATCTCAGAACGAACCAACGAAACTAGGTCAGGGATTGTCAGGGCAAGCCTGCCCCTGAACCTGTAGTACATTTGTGTAAGATGATTAGGCCTGCTCGGCTGGCTCCTCTGCTGGCTTCGCAGCTTCTGCCTTTGCAAGCCAGCATGTCTGGGTCTTCCGGAAAAGGCTTGAGAAAGCAAAGACATGCGTGATGGCCTCTTTCTGCTCGGGAGCTTTGGCTTCCGTGGCGCCTTGCACTAGAGAGAGTTTGTATGAACACCTTTTGATGCGCTTGGCAGGGCCTGCTGAAGCCTCTTTCACTCTGGCAAGCTCCTCAACTGTAAATAAGGTTGTCAAAGATCAAGAGAAGCACATCAAACGCACTCTCAACTTCTCCTCGGCAGACAGTGCGGCCAGGGCATTCTTGATGTCCTCGACTGAAGCCTTGTTGAAGGCCTGCATCGCAGATGGGAGTTTTGCTGAATACTTCCAACCTGAGCAGAGCTTCTCTCTTGATGATAACATACATACACAAACATAACAGATTCAAGCTCGCAGAACCACAAGTGCACACAGACCCTGCGTATCGCTGCGTTTTGGTGTGCGGGAACCCGTGGCCTCTGCGGCCTCGGTCGAAGCTCCAGCGCCTTAGCACATTCAGGGCGTCCAGTCCGCTATCAACGTGCACCAATGAGCAAACCATCCAATCCAAGGATGTCAGATAAGGCAGCAGCCCATCCCGATGCAAATGCGCAGTACGCAGCAAAAGAGGCTTGGCTTGAGATGCTCCAACAGCTACGACATGCACAAGTGACCAAATGTCTCGTGCTAATTGGCATCTCGCAATCCGTCAGCTGTGCTCTGCCATTAGAGCAGCGTGCTCTGGCTCCCGGCATCTGAGGTGACCGGTGCGGCAAAGCCAAGGGCAGGTGACGGTGTCAGGCTGTGCCCTGGCTGGCCTGCAGCCTGGGTGGGAAAGGCTGTAAAAAAAGAGAACCAATCTGCTTAGTCACCCCTTGCCTCGAAGGTGCAAGTTGCATGCTCGCAAGCAACCTAATGCGCGGCCGCTTAGGGCAGCACGAAATGACAAGGCAGCATGCGCAAATGCATGCTTGCAGTTGCCGCAAATCAGTTGAAGGGCCTCGTTCGGCAGCACGTGGCGGCACGTGACGAGGAAAAGTAGCCCAGGAAAATTTGCCTGGCATCGGGCTGTGCTTGCCACTTGTCTCTGCTTGGTCCCATGACATGAAAGCGCAGGGTCCCATGTCTGCCAATTGGTCCATGCCCGTCGGCATGTGGGACAAGCATCATATGTTGCGCGATGTCTGCATCATTGGGACCACTGCGCCCTCACGCTGTGAACTTCTGCCGGCTGTACCGGCAAAACTGCCAGGAAGCCGGTGCCAACCTCAAACATCTAACGGAACTCTGCAACGACAGCCTGATACCGCCTCGAGCTTTAGCACTTGGGGAGGCATCAAAGAACCCCATGCAGCTAAGAGCCAAGCTATGCCTTCGACATCGACTTCGATGATGCATACCTCTGCTATCACTGCGAAGGCTCCGTCACGTCCGAGGTCAAGGTGCCCGTAAAACGCATTGTAGTTCTCTACTGTTTTGAGGACGACGCCAGAATTCTGAGGGCGGGGCTCCAGAGCTCAAGCCTTGCAGCTCTCGTACAATCGCATCCTCTGCAATCAAATGACAAGCTTGAAAGGAATGACAGGTGAAGGGCAGCTTGCTGGCCCGGATTGCCCTAGCAGAAGTCCACACATTGGGCGTGTAAAGCATCGGCTGAAGCGAGCTCCAAGTCCTGCATGCCTCATCTTTGCCAGAAAGCTGCTTCGCATTAACACTACACGGCTTGTGGCAGTTTTCTTGCCAGGTGTTGAGTGTGAGTTGTACTAGGGCCATATCGCTTCGGCTCTACCTCTGGGACTTTTGCGTGCAGTGTAATTGCTGTATGCGCAATTATGCGCATGCGCTTTGCTAAAAGAATCGATTTTCTGAGCACTATTTCGTCTAGACTGGTTGAAGCTGCTTGCTACCCCACGTCCAGTTGCGCCTTCCACTGCTTGAGTAGATGTCGGATGAAGATGTATGCTTACAGGTCTGGCCAGCTGGCAAGGACGAATGCACGCTGACCTTTTTCCTCCCCTTACTCGCACATCTCGCACGCAGCTCTCAACTCTGGCTCGGAGAGGAAGCTGGCAAACCTGGTGGGTTGACATTGGCACGCTGGCAGGGAGCAAAAGCAGGGCTATCCAGGGGTGCGGCTTCGATGTCTTCCGGTTTGCCTGTTTTGGAATGGCTTCAGCGGCCTGGAGCTAACACGGTGCGGCAAAGTTCAGCAATGCACCAGAACGACATCTGGTGCAAGCTTCCTTTCCCATTAGGACAGCCAGCCGAAATTCCAAGCACTTCAAATGCAGGATGTGTCCAGGAATGCTCAGTGCCAGGCGCTGAAATGTTTCAGCACTTCTGACGAAAGCCATTGGCTAGAATCCTGCCGTGCAACTGACAGAACACAAGGTCCCTCCTGAAACTCAAAGATGACCTGCTGCTGGCCGAAGGTAAGCGGAGGGGCACGTGCAGCGGACAACGAAATTATGTTCAAAAATATTGCAGCAAAGCTCTTGCAGGACTCCTTGAATGGAAAAAGTTCTGCGATGACCTCGTTCCGCTTTGGGATACTGGATGGCAGAACCTCTCACGAATTCCATTCTAGCTTTGATGTCCGTTAATGTGCATTTCTAGGCCTTTGCAGCACTCGCCAGCGCCGGCGAGATTGAGCAGCTGAGACCCTGAAAGTGCCAAGCAAGCGTCACCTTACAGCATGCCGAGGCGTTGCAACATGGAATGGAACGAATACTCTCAAGAAGGTTCATGGCGAACGAAGCTGGAGGCCCACGCTGCTTTGTCAGCGACCCCGCCCAGGCCAAAGATACCACCCTCCATGTCAAGGAGGGAATAGAGACGACGGTGCCTCAAACGGCAGCCACTTCAATGGTTACCATTTTGCAATGTATCTGCTGATAAGGTGCAGCTGCGGGATGTGTTTCTGCAGACTTGTCTTCGCTTTCGAATCAAGTCTCACCGGATGTCAAACCGGTGCTGCGTCACTCAGGACGAGGCCTGCGAAGCAAAAGGGCCGCTTCGCGCAGGAAGGCCAACGCTGCCTGACATTTGCCAAACAAGGCAGCAAGCACACGATGGCAATCTGACATCTACTGCCTCTACCTTATACCGCTAGTAATACCTGTACTAGTACTCCTAGTGTTTTTACAACGTACTGTTACTGCAGCCATTACTGCTCTTCCTCCTCCTCCTCCTGACGCTGCTACCACTACTACCACTACTACTACTACTACTACTACAACTACAACTACAACTACAACACTTCCTCTTCTTCGACCATTATTATGACAGCAACTATGTCTACTTCTCGTTCCTGCTCCCCTTCTACTTCTTCTTCCGGCTCCGCCGCTTCCACTATCACTATGACAATAGTAGCAGCCGCTGCTTTCTGCTACTGTTGTTACAGCTATGGGCCATGGTTACAACCAGCACTAGCTCCAGCACCACCAGCATCACTACACAACCACGACCTGTTGAACCCCACCGTATGACTCCTCCCCTTTCCTGCCCCCAGTCCGACTTGAAGATTGCCAAGCAAGGTGCATGGCAGTCTGCTGTCACAGAAATGGACACCAACTGCTCCAGCAGCGCAGCCAAAGCCTCACCCAGTTCTCGACCACGGGAAAGGTATGGGTACAATCTGCGCTTCCAATCATAATTTTGCTTCGAGGCTTGGGAGTGTGGCTGGCCAAGCAATGCTTTCTCAAGGCTTTTTCTGTAGCAGCTGGGAAGCATGACAGCACGGGGTGCTGCTGAGACATCTCCTAAACCCAGCACCAAGATCAAGAGGTCAAGAGGGAGAAGCATCATTGCAAGCTCCTCATTCGAATTCATGGCAAATACTGCAAATGGCAAGATGAGGCCGTGAGACGCAGCACTGCTTTCGACAAAGCTAGCTTGCAAGTCTGTATTGCCCGGGATAGTGGCTGCGTCGGATGCAGTGCTGTAGCCCTGCGGACACCTGCTTCTCAGGGTTCTGCAAGACAATTGGGGCTCGCGGACTTGAATGGCTTTTGGACCCAGTTGTGCCGGACTGGGCGCTCTCACAGTCAACCAATTGAAGCTGCTGTGTCTGAGCGACTATACCTTCTCGTGCTCGCAAAGTTTTCTTGACGCCCATCGGCTGTTTTTGCCGATGAACGAATGAACGAACGCGAACAAAGAATTATTCCAGAACTCTGAAGAACTGCACCGTGCCTGAGCGCCGCATGCAAGCAGCGAAGCACCAGGCCTGGGACCTGCCGTGGTCCCGGCAAGGAGGAGCAATCCGGCGGAAACGTTTGAGTTGCGAACTTGGCACTGGAACCAAAAACATCTTCACCATGTTTATGAGATATATGGCTATATCACAGGCACCTGTCACCAAGAAGTTTCAGAAGGCTTCTTATCTTTCCAAGTGCTGATTGTGTTTCACGCCTGTGCTTGAGAAGAGAGTTGCATTGCAAGGATACCAAGATGTGAGGACAAGGAAAAAATGTCTGCTCAGAGCAGGGCGCTGCTGCCCTCCATGGCCTCCGCAAGGTCCTCACAGAAGTGACCACGCACCAAGCACTAAGCACCCAGCACGAGCTTGGTGTAATCTGATAAAGCCCCGAAGGAGATCAAGCGCAGGACGTGTCCTTCTCAGAAGTCATCACCTGCAGACTGGCGTCCAAAACATGACGTGCATTCTTTCCATTCACGTGTTCATGGCAGGCAGTGACCACATGCATAAACTTGCGCAGTAAGCTCTTGACACTCAGGGATAGTCACGCTCTGCCCTTATGCTACACTGCGATCATATGCGACTAGTTGAGCCCACCTTCACGAGGCATGTGGGAAAAGAGCCACTCATGTGCAACCAGGACGAAGGAACTCGACGCACCTCGCCGTCATCGTTTTCCCAGAAGCAGCGCGGAGGCGGCCACACGTCACCCTGCAAGCATTCAAGGGCTGTTTTCTTGGCCGCGCTTGATACAATCCTCCAAATGGAAGTTCAAGTACTAAAGAAGAGCTCCAGAGTCCATCATCGACATGCTTTGCGAGAAAAAAAGCATCAGCGGGCTTTTTTTGAAAGATGTGCTGCGCGCCGACGTCCGACTGTTTCAGTTCATCAGCATGCCAGCGTCTCTCAAAGGTTACCAAATAATGCGAATCGCATGAGCCTGCGAGGCTACTTAGGGTTTGGCCGATTAGGTTTCCACAGGTTGGCTTCAAAACAACCATGCTGCATGGCAAATGTAAAAAACCAAGGAAAATCGAGGAAACCTAGTCTAGCAGCTGCAGCAGCTGGCCAGAATGAAATGCTAGGCAAGCGGGGCCCACGGCATTGATGCTTTGGCGCGACCACCGCGCATTGCCGTGCAGAGCTATTACTCCTGTCTCACCTATGATTTCGCCCAATTCAGGCCACTCTCTACAAGCAGCTTCGCATGATGTAGGAGAAGATCCAACGTGCCAATGATGGGGACAACAAAGATGTAGTTTCTCGGCGCTTCCTCGCGTGCTACTCAGGTTTGGACGTTGCGAGCAAGTGCTGCGGCCCATCAGAGACAAAGAACAGCCGCATGCCTTCTAAAAACAAGCACAATGGTGCTGTTTTCAGTCCTGCAAGGAAAGCGGCCGCTCGTTTATGGTTGCCTGATCTTGTGCTTTGACATTCGAAGCAGCTCCGTTGAAATTCGCCCCGTCGCCACACGCAACATACAACTCATGCAATGAGCAATGCAAGAAAGCGGCCGCAAGCTTGGTGGCATTGTGCTCCAGAGCGCCGTCTGGCCAAGGTATGTGATCCACCATCCATTGGCCCTCATGCACAGGAGTGAATGAGTGCAAAATTCCCGACATACTGCTGCGGGCTTTTGCTTGGCATTTGCGGTGTGGGAGACATAGTGAGATGGTGTCCTAGGTGATGGTGGTGTTGGTCGCCTGAGTGGGACACCCGACTCAGGCGCCAGGTCAACCTGGACCCTGTCGGGAAAGTTCCGTTCTGGATCGAGTCGGTCCCCCAATTCCCCGCCCCCAAGCCCCGAACATTGCATCCGTCAAGCCCAGAAAGCATATGTCCTCACTCTAGAAGAGAAGGGACTCTGAGTGGGACACAAAGTCTTGCTTCATCTTGGGGTCTTTTTTTTCATGGCCCAGAAGCCAGTCATCTCGGCGGCCATGTTCTTGAAAAGCACTAGCAAGTAAAATGAAAGGAGTGATGGCTAGCAAGCCCCAAAGAAAACCCTATTCCCCGAAAGGAGTCATGGCTGGCCAGACCAGAGGAAGACCTCACCCAAATCCAAACCTTAGACGCAATCAGCACGGTGAATAGCATTGCCAAGCCCTGAAGGGAGCAACGACGGGCAAATCCGAACTCCTAACCCTACGAATGATCATGGGAGTGATAGCTAAGAAAGCATCGTTGCGGCTGGTGGTGTGGTTGGTTCCTTCGGACATTTGGGGGGAGTGCTCGACCAAAGGCCAGTAGGATGCTCGACACAAGCAGTTAGCAGTTGACAGGTACTTTAGCCGGTCAGAAAACGTCACACAATTCAGGCCGGCACTGCGTTTTGCACTGCCGGAAGAAGCCCTGCTGTCCAAATGATCTTGAGCGCCGAAAAAATAGTCTCCAGAGCACACAGCCAGATGATGATCCACGTGAGCCTGTCCAGACATTAGCAGCGAACGTGACTCGATAACTATGCAGGGTCTGCGAGAGCAACTCAAGCAGAGCCAGGGCTTGCATCAATGCAATGGTCGGTCCACTTTGGTTGCAACTGAACTTGCCTGGTCCCCTGCCGTTCATCCAACTTGTCTTGAAGCACGTCGAACATGTCCTCAAGCACCTGCCCATGTTGTCCAACCAATATTTGCACCAGCAACTTTGGAAATGTGGACCTCGAAGCGCTGGTTTACGATGTGGATCCTTCTGTCCACATCCAGGTGCTGCCTTGCATAGACGTAGATGGGCTCCTGCGCCAAAGCACACCGTGACTGGGGACATGCGTGCGCCTCTCTTGTGCACGCAGTGAATCCGCCCTGCTGCCAAGGCACCGCGTCTTCAAACTCCCAGAAGACATCCGGGGTGTCGAGTGTGTCGAACTCAAGATTCACCTACTCTTCTCTGCTTGCACTTCGGGTGAGCTTGACTATTTCAACCCATTTCCAATTTTGAGCCTTGTTCTTCAAGGCAAAGAGCTCCCCCATCATCATGGCAACACGTTCGCTGCTTAGTAACACCCGCCCTGCCAGCGACCAGTCTGCACATATGACTGACTTGAAACACGAACAGCCTGTTCGCGCCATGTCTTCCGGAATGGTGCGCGTGGCAGCGATCCATTGGTCAATCCGCTGCTCCCAGTAGCCTTGCTTTTAGAAATCTTGGGCTCCTTGCAACCCTGTCTGCTTGCACAATGTATTTTCTTGCTGCCAAAAGAAAGTCTTTGACCCTTCAGGCGGATAGGGGCTCTGAAAGGGCTTAGAGTCAGGCATGGCTGAAGGCTTGGTGGCTTCACAATGCTTTAGGGATCAGGGGTGCGGCTCATGGTCTGCAGAGTGACTCTCTAATACTAACTGAATTGTCATTAGCAGCCTCTGGCAGTATGCTCCTGGTATCCTCCAGAAGGGGGTACTGAGCAGATACATTACTGCTACCGCGGTGCTGAGGCGGACAGATTGTGCCAAGGAATATGCGATGCCAATGCGCTCCTGGACCTCCAGGCTGGGCTGCGCATGTCGTCTGAGTTCAATAATCAGGGCAATCCCTTTTTTGGTGCAGGCGTCTCATCTTTTACTACCCATTTTCACCTCTTACACCATCCAACACGAGCGGGCCCATGCTCTCCCAAGCATTATTCGCAACTGCCTTCTTTCTTCGAGTGTCCTTGCTTTCCGGTTCGGCCTTGTGGCAAACAGGCAGCGCATCGCCCCCTGCGATGTCCAGATTGTCAGTTTCCACTTGCGCAGGCGCCAGTGGTTCCTTCAGGAAGTTCCGGACGGACTCCCTGGCAGAATTGACCTGTGGCACTGTGCCAAATGTGTGGCAGACTGATGGACCACGCGCCTTCGTTGAAACCTGCCCAGCCTCCTGAGGCGTGCATCCCCAGCAGACCAAGCAGCCGAAAGAGAAGACAAAGCAGTCTTTCTCATCAACCTTGAGCAACGCCACATCGCTGTGGAAGCGAATTACCTTCAGCTCTTGATAGGCTGCAATGTGACATGCAAACAACACTAACGCGTTGGCCATGCAGTCAATCATTTGAAATCAAAAACGCTGTTGTAATGCCGGAAGAAGGACTGGTCGCGGAGATGTGTGTGGCATGCGTCGGAGGCTTGCCTGCAAAGGAGTTTGTCGGCTATTACACAGTTGCACAGATTAAACATGCTCGAATGCGCATGCTCGTACTTAGACCTGTTTCATACAGGGGAAGCCGGGCTTTTGGAGCGCCTTCCAGTTGTCAGTCAACGCCTGTATGTCCAAGCTGTTGGCAAGGTAGTAGGCAAAGCAACGATCCTTGTGCGCCCCCAGGTGCGATTCTCATTCGTCTGAGCACGAGAACGGTCGTTCCGGTGGCTTATGACACGTCCTCGTTGGGCTCTACTGGTGCGGCGTCCCAGTCGCGCCTAGAAAAGCCCGAATGTGCTGGCACTGCTGGTTTTTATGAGCCAAGAATTATAGTCTGCAAGATGAGTACAGAAGTCTCACAAACAAGCAGATGCCTGGCGCGCTGTGCGCGCTGTGCTCCGATGGACGCAGTCCGTCGGGTGGCGCCTGTTCTGGAGGGCGAATTGCGCTGTCTACACTGGAGCACAAAGTGCCCATTCCCCTACGCGTAACTAAGGCTTCGTATTTGGGTCATCGCAGGAAGTATGACAACGCATCAAACATAGTGTGCCAAAGAAGCTGCGGTTTTGAAGCACAGTCGCCACTTCAACAGCCACTCGTCCAAAATCAGAGCTTGAGCGCTCATGCGCACTCACGATGTGATGTGAGATGGTGTGAGCATGTCCACTTTTCGGGAGCATTAGCGAACCACCAACTGCAAGACAACCCTTCTGCAACGGTCGTCGGAGCCGCAAGCTTTCAAAGTTTTAAGTCAAGATTGGACACCCTACACGGCCTCCCATATGGCATAAATCTGAAACTGTTTGGATCTCCAGTTTGCAGACCTACAAAAACTGCACCTCGTGGTGCGGAGAGGCTCCGCGAGGTGCCCAGCGATGTGGCCCGGGCCAGGCCTCAGACGATTCTCAGAAGCACCAAAGGAGCAAACAGATAAACAGCCGATTGGCTTCACCCAAGCAAGGTTTGCCTCTGGATCTGGTAGGGAGGTGCCTAAAAAAGCTTTCTGCATACCTATGTGATTTCATGTCAATTCCAAAGTTCAGCACAAGTGGAAGGAACCTCTGGCTGGGGCGTGCGTCAGGGTGTGCATGTCTCTTGTGCTCGCTGTCATTCAACGTGTGAGGTTGCCTAACCAACAAAACCTCAAGTCTCGTGCTGGCTGGTTGGAGACGCCCAAGTCTCACTGCTGGCTCCTTGCACGGAGATGGAAACTCGCAAGCTGAACAACTGCAGCATCAGCTACCCTATTTTGCGCAGGCAGCGCATTTACGCAAACAAAGGCCGCTTTTCAAGACTTGAAACGTGCTTTATCCGTCCTTGCCTGGCGGCTGCCGATGATCCCGGCCGCTGGGCGCTCGCTGCGCCGCGCGGTCCCAGGATTTGGCGCTCTCTCGCGCGGTCGGACCATGGCCCGTTGCAACAATGAAAAACAATAACAGAATGCTAGGTTAACCCGCCTCATAAGGAATGACGCTGGGATGAGCTAAAGAGAACCAGTGTTGCGCCCGTAAGAAATTGGATAATGGTACCGAAGGCCAAATTCTGTCAAAGAGTTGGGGGCTCAAAGGCTGTCGTCAGTTAAAGGGCATTAGTACTTGATTCTATGCACAAGGCCCTTTGCTTCCCTTGAAGCACTTTCACTTGCACATGGGTGCAGGTAAGGCCAGCTAACATGTGTTCGAATGAAACGGAATCTGAAAGCAGCAGCAATGAGCAACCTGCCTTGGAGTGCACTGAATACATAGAGGGCAAGGCCAGAGCTAGGGCACTCGTCATTGAATCCGAGAGCCAGCTCACGTCTGTGAGCAAAGCCTACGAAAGGATGACATGAAGTCAAACTAATTGAATGCCACTCGTACAGCGGCAACTGCATTTGAAAGGTGTGGCTCTTGTGCTAGACTCTTCCTCAGAATCTGCTGCAGACAGCATCGGCTGAAAAGCATAGGCATAGGACCACGACAGCATCCTTGGCCTGCGATGGCCCGCTCAGCAGCACCAAAGCACAGTTGAGGCCTCAGTCGCATTTTCACTTCTCTTCACTTCCTTTTGTCGGGACTGCATTCGAAAGCAACGCACGTGTGGCGAAGGTTTGCAAAGAAAACATCATCAGGGTGGGGCTCACAAAACATCAAACAAGGACCAGAAAAATCTAAATCGGATCCAAAAACTTAACACAAGGACCAAATGACTAATAATTAAATCAGAATGAAGAAATGTGAGAATGCTCCATGCGAGGGCTTGATTTTCCCAAGGAACTACGCATGTTCGCGGCATGGCTTGTCATGATGCTCCGGCGTGGAGCGTCCTCACAACTTTGCTCGAAGTTGACGACCACCACAGTTTTTCCTGCGCCGACGGACGCTGTTGCGTGGAGCGTCCTCTGAATTTTGCTCGGAATCGACACCGCTCTAAGAGTTCGCGGCGCCTCGAGACGCTCTTAGGTGGAGTGTCCTCTGAATTTTGCTCGGAATCGATCCACGGCGTTCGCAGCACCCTCCGGGCACTGTTGTGTGGAGCATCCTCAGAATTTTGCTCGGAATCGACAAGCCCTCTAGATCTCGGAATCGTCAACTCTGTCAATGTTTGCGGCATCTCCACACGCTCCTGCGTGGAGCTTTCTCAGAAAAATTGGTCAGGCGCGACAACCCTCTCGGTGGATGCGGCCTCGGATTTTGGCTCGGAAAAGGACTTTTCTGTGGAGGTGCTTGGCAATAGGTTGGCTTGATGTTTGATCGGTGGGAGGATGGAAGACATGATGCGGTTCTTGTACGGTTTTCGTGGGGTTAGGTCTGAATAATCAACATTCCCGAAAGCGCTGCGAAAGGTTTTCCCGTCGAGGTGGTTGTCTATAGGATGGCTTGATGATTGAGTGATGAGATGATGTGAATGGGAGGTTGGGGGATCAGCAAAATCAAAAAAGGGGTAAAGAATTAAAATGTGGCGCCCAAAAAATCAAAATATGGAAGGGCCCTAGGCGACAGCGCGCCTTTCCTAAGGACGTACTATGCCAAAGGGTTCAAAGAGCGCGGGGTTGGGGCTGCAGCATGCCGGGTTCATGTTTAGAAAGACCAGGAAGCGCGGGGCAGGCGTCAGCCATTTCCAAACCATTGAGGGATGCGGAAGTTGTTGATGAGGATAAAGCCAGGATACACTATTAGTCATGATACGGGTTCATGTTTAAAGAAGCGGTCGCAGCCCCCCTCCCCCAAATACAAACCGATGAGAAAAGCGGCAGTTGCTGAGGAGGATTGACGATTAGACAGTCCATGTTTGATGGGAGAAGATGAACTCCACGACGACAGCTGATGAAGCATGTTAAACCATGATGAAATAAGAAAAGCTGAAAATGATGAACCATAATGGAAACGTTGAAAAGTGGTGAAAATCAACAAGCACCAAAGATGGAAAACAGTGAGCATGATGAAGCAATAGCGAGACTCTTTTTAAATGGTGGAAAGTAAAAAAGAAATAATGCACACGGTGAACAAACGAGAATACATGAACATACTGAGATAAAGTGATTATATTAAACACTCATTAAATGACACTGAAAATTGAACATCGTTGAAAACAATGTAGATTGTGAATGTGACGATGTGATGAAAGGTCCATGACACCGATGAACAATAATGGTTTTTCCTGGAAAAGCTTGTGACATGTGGAACAAGTATGAACATTTGATGGAAATCATGGAGGTGATGAAGCTGATAGAATACGATGAGACAACCTTTCTTCCTCGCTTGCTCCCTTCACTCCTCCTGTCCTTTGCTCCGTCCGTCGTTGCTTTTCTTCCTTCCTTCCTTTCTGCCTTGGGTTGTCCTTACTTGTGCTCTGTTGTTCTGGCGGTGGAAGAGGATTTTCCCTTTGATTTCGCTGTAGTAGAATGGTTTCGCTCTTATTGATCCTTCGTAGTCTATTTGTTTGATGCGTACTTGTTTTGTTGATCCATATTCTACCTCATATAAGGCCGGCATCCTCAAACATCTGCCGCTGCTCAGTTTGTGTGTCTTCACCTCAGCTGGGCGACCATGTAAGGCCACCAGCTCATCGCCTCTCGCAATGGCATCCTGGCGTCAGTAGTATGCACAGGAAAGCTGGAAGAATTGGAGAAACTTTGGGCGCTTCACATTGAATACTAGTGCTTAGCGTTGCTATTAAACCTCCTTGATAAGAAACAGAGAGACAGAGGGAACGCAACGCTACCACTATTTCAGCAATCAGCAATCCTTGCCAACTAGACTTCCCACTGGAACCTGGTTTTGTGGTGTGTGGGTCCGGTTTAACGGTTTGAGCCTTGACTGCCAGCCGTAGCTCAGAAAGGATTTCCAGCAGAAGCTCGAGATTCACCTGAAGACTCTCTTGCTGCCTACCTCTCTTGCCTCAGGCGCAGCACCAACTCGGCCTGTTGTCCCCACCGTGCCAAGCCGGTGAGCACAGTGCCCATCAACTCACGGCCTCAGGGCTGAACTGCACGAGCAGTACTGCATGGTCTATCCTGGCTTCCCCCCCCCCTGCTGCCCTCACAAGGGCAAGTATTCACATTCACGGCCATTTGGGTTCCCAATAATCATCCTAAGACTTGGGACAGGTCTGTGCAAGTGTCGCTGTCGCAGGATGCGGAGGTAGACCACGAAAACCTTTGCCCAAACCAAAGGCAGCCCGATCTCAAAGGAAAACTTCTGATTTTCCTAGATTTTTGGCAGAAAATGCAATGGGCCCTATCGTAGCAGTTGCGCATCGAGCGTAAGCGTAGCGCACTTCAACAGTATTGGTTTGCTTGCGTTACAGGCCATTGTCATCACACGCACAGCAAGGCGAAAGCAAACCAGCCAAAAGTGCACCAAACGCGGCATTGTCGGCATGCTGCACCTCGTAGAGCAGCTCACCTTCTCGCTTCCGCAGCTGCTCGGCGCTCAGCGTAATGGAGGCCTCACTTCTGCAGGAAATCTTTCGTCGGCAGCCTACCGTAAGGGCTACAGCCACAATCCAGTCCTCGGCCAGGCCCTTCTTGACGTCGTCATCCGCATTAGACATGTCCCCTGCACAGCGTAACCCCCGTACCAGCCCTGCACCCAATAGGACAGTACTACCAAACCATGGCCCTGTTGCTGCGATGGTTGTTCTACTGCGATAATATGACTCGTACTCCTACCCGCCACTCCTACGACGGCTACAGTACCGCTTGTAATGCTTCCTGGCCGGCGGTCAGTGAGGAATGAATGAATGAGTTACACTTATGGCTCGCGCTCAGTATTGCTCAGTAAAGTGCCAAAGAGTCATCGCCCAGGAGCATGAAGATTTGCAAAAATCACATGAAAACGAAGACTAGTGTCTCCCTAAAAAAGACCCTCATGGTCAGGCTACGTTTGCTTCTTTGTCTTTGTTTTGGTTTGGTTCAGCGACCACCTGCTGGCTTCCAGTATCACGGGTTGATTTGCAGCAACAATCAAAAGGAAGAGCATTTCCTAGTGTTGCAGCAAAACAAGATTTTCGGCGTGGTTCGTGATCAGTGTCTGCTCCTTCACGAACTTTGTAGAGAGAGAGAGCGCGTGCATGAGTAGACTCAGACTGGATCCTTCAATAATTTCCTTGAGTCTAAAAGGTAGGTCTACGCCTGCTTGTGGTTGTAGCTGGTATTCCCGTTCTCATATCAGGGGCTCTGAAAAATCAGAAGATTTCTAAGCAATGTTGGCAAAAACAACAGAAGCACTGAGTGCTGTTTGGCACCGAATCTCTATAATTAGCTCGCTGACCACGAGCTCGACCCACCCCAAACAAGTCAACCTCAAGATTTTCTTGAGTGTTTCTGACACTATCGAAAGCTGCAACAAGTTTCCGAGAACAGACAAACATGAACAACACGTTTGGCGACCAGGCTCTCTCAAAAGACACCCAAGTCAACTGCAAACTTTGGTTGTGTACATGGAGCCTAGCATCTAGAAGATGTTTTGATTGCAACACCATCAGTTTCTCGCATGGTCATGTGTTTTCGGGCAGGCAAGAAATCCACAAGTACACCCGAAACCTGATATACGGCGATGCTACGGTCACCTGGTCATCTACTAATATTGTCTTCTTTCTGGCGTTTTCCTGCTCCCACTGCCACTACTACTTCTTCTCGTTTCTTTACCTAGGTGCTTGTGCTTCCCCTATCATCATGGCGCTGCGACTGCTGCCTCCTGGTCCAGCCAACTCAGCGGCATCCGCGCGACCGATGGGCAAGCGCAGCAAGACCTTCAAAACCGAGTTTCCATCTTGCCACTTCACCAAAACCCCGAGAGGGTGATTCCTGTAAATTTCTCACAGCATGACTAGCAACAAAACCGCATCTATCATGGTAGCGTGTCTTGAAGGAGACTCTTGCCCTTCCCCATGCCCAATGGCATGCCAAAACCAGGCACGCAGCTTTCTGCCCGGGTGCCTGCAAAAGCTCGAAGTGTAGCCCGCGGTGCGACTGGCTGTTGTCTGAGGCATCCTGGTAGCCGCCCTTTCGGCTGTGTTAGCATTTAGCATTCTTAAGCTTGGTAAAGCATGGACGAACAACTGAAGTTGAAGGCGCAAACCAAGTCATGACTGCCTGTTACGTTGGCTTTGATGGACATGCTTCGATCAAAGCAGAACTTGTTGCAGGCAAGGCCAGCAACTGAGCTCCTCTGCTTTGTTGCCAGCTTTGGCCTTTCGTCCAGCCATGCCCTGGGCTAAGCGGCCGATGGCAATCACGGCCTCCTTGGAACCCTGGCAGCCGTGGCAGCTATGTGTTGAACGGCGATGCAAATTGACCCGACTCCCGCTCAAGCCTCAAGTCTCTGGTCTGACTCCACCATCTCCTGGAACCAGTGCCAGATCTGTCAGTACAGACATGACCGTGCCAGGCAACTTTTGTGCTCTAAAAGCGAGTTTGGGCTGCCTAGTGGCCTAGTAGTCTCGGTGCAGTGTTCTCAAAGCTGCTCACACTTTGTTTGTTTAGCAGCTGCAGTCAAGGTAGCAGAGCCCTTTCTGTCCTGAAGTCCAGCCACTAAGGGTGCCCGAACGTCTTTGTCAGGGCTGTTGCAGTGCCTCAATATGACAAGCAAGTGCCATGACGCATGTTTAGAACTGAACCTGATCTGCATCTGCGCGGCTTGCCTTGGGGAATGCGCTGTCATGTGTCAAGCTTTCCGCAGACAAAGCTGCCAACATCTTTTCAAAGCCAATGGCGGGGCTGTCTCTCAACTCGCAGGAACTACAGTCCACATACAGCGGCAAGCAGCCTCAACTCTGAGCAGAGCACTTAATGGCCGTGCCAATCAGTCTCTGTCTGTAGTTGAAGTCAAACGCAGCCTTCGCCGCTGACGCAGATGGATGACACGCGTGGCGGTTGGCACGTCTGCAGTGTCAAGAGAGAGAGTGGACACACCATATCTGCGAGGCAACGCTTCCGGATTGTCCTGATGTTGAGTTGGCTTGTATTTCAGACCTCATGCGTGAAACAGAATCCCATAACCCCGGGATAACGCAGGGAATTCAAGGCTTAGAGTCCAGGCACTTCGGGGCTTCTCTCTAAGCTACCGCGCCAAGTTGTGAAGGCATGCGACACGGACGCCGGCGCAAGAGGGCAGCATCAACGCAAGGAGCACAATGGAGCTTCTAAGGAGCTGCTACGTGGAACAAGAAGGCAGGGAGAGCGTGTATGCAAAAGAGCAGGCGCTCAGGCTTTCGCAAAAACATTTGCCGCATCAGGTCAGCTCCATGTTCAATCTCAAATTTAGAAATCTGCCGCGCTCCATCCAGGACTCACAGGCATCTCTGCCATCTGCTGCTGGCCTTGATCAATGCCCCCAGCGCGGGTGCAGTAGCGACAGGATGGTTTCGCATTGCTGCCTGTGAAGGAACTTGCAAGAATTTGCAAGGCTTTGGATTGTTCGTACATGTTCGTACCTAGCATCTGCTAACTTCTGCTAAGCAGTGATCAAAAAAATCATTTTCATTGTGCCAGGACCCTCCCCACATGTCCGATGCGCGAAAGCACTTTCAGACGTGTTGTCCATGACGGCTCCTGCGAATCCTTCACAACGAAGTGCAGAAATCCAGGCAGCACTGTTCTACTGCTGTTTTCGGCACCCCTCGATCAGGCTCCTCTGATCTATCTACCCTTCTCACATATGTTGGGGCCGAGTTTGCTGTACAACTGGCATGCTGGAAGCCCTCTCCCCGCTGGAACTTCTCCCAGAAGGAACTAGGGCCGGGTCCACAACCAGGCCAACCCCACAACGACAAGTCACAAGAAAAAAACATGTCGCAAAGCATGCGACGCTTACTTAGCGCCAATCATCCGCAACTGCCAGCTTGGCTGCGTGCGGGGAAGCGGAAGTTGTTTGTGCATCACATGCCCAAGTTTGGAATCTCACCTGGCATTCAAAGCGCTCTGGAACTATCTGTCCAGCAGGAACAATTTGGCATAGAGTGATGAAAAGGTTTTCCTGTTACGAAATGATAGCACATGTGGAGCATGCAAATCAGCCTGTGCGTTTTTGCATGCTCAGGCACTTTCTCGCATGTCGATGGACGGCTGGGTTTCGAAGTTAAGCTGACGCACTGGGGGCGCATAGGGCACCACACGAACGTACGTGGTGACTGTAGTGCCTCGCAACATTATCATGTGGCCACCAGTTTTCAGCAAAGCTGCATGCTGCAAGTCTTGAATCCGAGCAAGATGCCACTCTGGCCCTTACGGAAGCGCTTGAAGTTGGGCTTTCCATCCGACCGCTGCACCTTTCAGACCCATGCTAGCTTCAAATTACAAGCAAGCAGCCTGATTTGAAGTATGCAGGGCCAGTACTGCTTTTGCTTACGTGCAAGCTCCTGACGCAATCTCCAACTTGCACATACTTCAGCCGCTTCCGCCACAGCAACTGCACATTGATATGCCTCTGGCGCCCGCTTGTCCGCAGTCGTCCAGGAGGCGCGAGGTAACTCGACACCTGCGACTTTTCTTCGTTTCGTCTGCAGAGACAGTCACATCAGCACACGTAGCTATGTCCAAACATCACCGGGACATGTAAGATAGGCTTCTTTGACGCCTTCCAGAACTAATCGATTGCAACCTCGTGCTTTCAGGGGATTTAGCCACGTCCTGCGAGCAACGGAAGCCATGAGAAGACACATGACATCTGCGTTGATGACTTGTGCTTCCCAGATTTGTAGTGAGGGCTGCTATCGAATGTCCCCGTCGGGTGCACCACGGGCTCAGTGCCGTCAATGATGAGCTCCTCCTGGACGTGCAAACCAAGGATTTCAAGCCGCGGTCAGAGCACGTTAGAGGGCAGAAAGACTATTGTTGCAGGTAGTAGTACTTGTATTAAACTGGTTTACCTCGAGGGACCCTTGGGTGGACTAGGCTCCTCCGCTTTCACTTCTGGAGGAGGAGGAGGAGGAGGATGTGTGGAGTGAACCGACTGGATGGTACCAGAGTTGATCTTTTCCTCCTCCTCGCAAGGTAAGAGGGCAGCAAAGCCATCTAGTCGCATGCCCAACATTCTTGGCTGGGGTACTCTACTGATTCTACTGCGCCATCATTGCGAGCAAAGCTCAGTGGTCCTGCTTTTGTTCTAGCTTTGCCTTCGGCTGGCTGGCTATTCGCAAGCTTGGCGTGGCTTGCTGACTTTGGACCACCTGCCAGGGAAAAGCTCAAAGACGTGTCCACTAGAGCCGGAAGTGTGGGTAGGTGGATGAGTTGTGTGAAGCTTCCAATCTAACCTACCATGCCTCGCCCACGAACGCCCAACCCAGCAATAACTAGGCCAACCTTGCAAAGCGAAGCACCTTGTGGATTCTTTTGTCGGTGCGGCGGAGCGCTGATGACATGTTTCAGGATGATGACGCGATTAGTTGCTCAGCACGAATAATTCTTTTGAAGAGCCTATATAGTCCCACCACCAAAGTTGCCCTGTTGCCTCAATGGGCTGCTCGGGCTTGGGCTTCCGCTTCACGGCGGGGGGCTGACCTGCAATTTTCTTCTACTAGAAACGACGCAAGCCTCCCTGATCAGGCAACTTGCATGTCGATGAAAAGTCGAAATGACCTTGTTGGCTCTGATTGTGGCTCCCTGCTCCAGCAGCGGGCTCATCGCTCCCGGCTACTTGCACAGGTTGTTGGGAGCTCCGTGGCACGGCAGCTTGTGGCTTCTCCTCAAATCAGTCACCACGCGGCCCCCTTCATGATGCCAAATCTGCTCAGTTTTGCCCCTGCGCACTAAATATAAAAGTCTTTCAGCTGTCACAACTTGCGGGTGGGGGATCCAAAAATTGATAAGGGATCAAAAATGCCAATGATTGAAAATCTTGCCTATACTAGAGGATAGACAGCAATTGCAGATTTTGGGTCGCGTAGAGGCTGCAAACATTGTAAGTTGCAGCGTTTTGGCTCGTGGAGAGGCTGCAGATATCGTAAATTGCACCATTTTGGGCCGCGGAGCGGCTTAGCACTTGCAAATATTGTAAATTACAGTATCGGAGCTCTGAGCTTGCATATGCTGTAAATTACAGCACACCAGCTCTGCATTTTCTGGAGCTTGCCGATGTCTGCTGGAAATTAACATTCGGAGCTTTGCAACGAACCTAGAATAGTCGAGCTGTTGGATGGCCTGAAAACAGCAAGGGTTGGTGGGCGCAGCCCCAGACAATATACGATAATATACTATAATCTGCATAATCGTCCCGTACCTTCTTACAGCAAACATGGTGATGACATGATGATTCGTTTACTGCACGCATGGATGGACGCATTAAAAAGCGGCGGGGTTGCGGGCGCAGCCTCCAACCCCCCGCAAGTTACAAACTATGATCCCACAATCTCCTGTTACTGCCAACATGGTGATGGCATGATGATATTTTTTACTGCAAGCATGATGAACCACAACCTTCCCTTACTGCAAACATGGTGATGAAAAGATGCTTCTTAAGCAATATGATCCAAGCAACCTTTCCTTAGGGCCTTCGGGCAAACGTGGTGATGACATGTTCTCTCTTTTACCACAAGCACGGATGGCCTGAAAAAGCAGGGCATTTGTGGGAGGGTGGAGGGCGCAGCCCTCCCATTCACAAGCAATGATATGCACAATCTTCCTTTGCAGCATGATATGATGATTCTTGTTGCCACAAAAGCGGTCTTTCTTGTTGTCTTTCTCTTATTTATGTGTGTTTTTGGTGTTTTCTTTCTTTCCTTCTTTTCTTTTTTCGTTGTTTCTTCTATCTTGTCACACGTGTTGTTCTGCAATTTTGCTCTCTCTCTCGGCTGGTTGGAAACCTCTGTTCTTTGGAGCACCTCCCAGCAGGTCCAGGGAGGCGGCGGGAGGCCCTAACAGGCCTGGAGAGCCTGAATACTGATTTTTGCAGCTATTTGCCTTTTGTTAGATCCCCTATCACATGATGCCTCTCCCCAATTTGCGAGGCCAAGCAAAGCCATTGATGACTGCCAGCCGTGCGTCTTCCAGCTCCTCCTTCACTCTGCAGGGGACTGCAGATGAAGCTTTCGCTGCTGCTTGCGATTCACCTTAGCCAGCTCATCTTCCCTTCATGACTGCAAGATACTTCAAGCAAGTTCGCACCCAAGTAGGTCATGAGTTGACGGTGTTGGCGGTCTGCTAGAGTCATGCCCATCCACAGGTCTACATGCATACGCATCGCTGAGAACATTGAGCCTGCAGCCTAGCCAATCCGGAGCCTGCGTGTGTGGAAAGCTCTCCTGCTGCATGTTGAATCATTGGGCTTCGGAGAGAGAAGCGGCTTCTGACAACTACGAAAAGGGGCATTTGCACGCTTGCACGCTGGTACTGTGTCCTCCTTGACCACCGGCTCTGCCGGCTTGGCTTCAGATTGTCCCGCTTCCTGAAGCAGCCACAGCAAGGTCTCAATCATGAGAACAAAAGTTGGACAAATGGCGCATTTAGCCAAGCTTCCCAGGGCAGCGGGCGTTTGCGGGTGATTCGAGTTTTCTGCTGCTGCAGCGAGGGCTGGAGCTGCGGCGCTGGCTGCTGTGACAGCTGCTTTGGCAGCTGCTGTGATGGCTGCTTACTTGGCTGCTGTAAACGCTGCTTAGGTGGTGGCGGCTCCTGCTGCTGCTGCTGCTGCGTCATGCCATTTTGCTGGTGTGTGTCCGGAAAGCTGTCGGGAAGCTCCTCGCAGAAACAAGAGCAGGGCCGCTGATGCTTTCAAGCAAACTTTCCTGGCATGGCAGCATCCGTCGCATGGAATCGAGACCCTCAGTTCTGCAGGCCGTCCGTCTTGGGAACGATCGTCGCCGTGTCGGTCGCACGCTTCCTCTGCCCGGACAGCAGGGCAGCCACCACAGCCTCCCATTTGCCGGACAACACCAATAAGAATGTTGGGTCAATTATGGCTAGCCATGGCCCAGGCCTGCTGGCTCACGACCAAACACCTGAGCTGAAGCAGGGCTTGTCACGTGAATACTTCGGCCCTCCCATGCGTACTCTTTGTGAGGTCTTCATTTGTAGTGCGTTCAAAGTTCAACGGTTTTTTACAGCTTTGTCCGGGTTACATGGCACGCTTTAAGGCACCAGGCACGGACACCGAAGGTCTCCCAGTTCTGAGAGGAGCGAAGCCAAGCCCGGCGGCAGTGCCTTGGTGCTTAAATCTCACCAGGTGGTGTCCTTTAGGCTCTTGAGGCTGGTGCTGGGATGACCCACACTTCTGTCGGTGCTCCATGTGCAGCGACGCCTGCTTGAATGTTCAGCCACACAGACACACACCGCATCAGCACGCTGGCGTGCGGATGCACCCAATGCTCCTGGCTGTCAAGCCTCGCTTGAGGTCCTGCACGACGCTGCTGGCTGGCACGTCCTGAACTGAAGCAAGTGGGGGTCGCCTAAGTGCCTGATACCCTCAACCTTTGCCAGGTCCTGTGCCACCAGTACCAACGATGCCCCAGCATGCTCTAGAGGCAAATGGAGCGTGTCATAGACCTGCCAATCACGCAGCACGAGGAGCGACCCAGCCAGTTCAACTTTGCATGCTGCACTGCGGTGCCGCTGGTGGCCTGCTTGGAGCTGAAGATAATCCAACTACCTGAAGCGATGCAAAAGCTGCTCACCCGACCACCACGAAATCACAGCTAGTTTTGCCAACGGTTCTAAGCTTGTGCGAAGCACCCCTTTGGCAGGAAGTGTTCTGGCTCCGAACATTACGCCTCTGCGGATGCAAAATGTTATTGCGAGTGCACTGCTGTTGCCAGCCCGGGTACCTTTTAGGAGCTCACGCCGCGGTGCCGGGGCGTTGGCATAGGCGGTGAGCTCAGCGCTATAGGCTGAGTCAGCTCCTTGTGACAAGGCCATTGATTCTGTAGTGCGGATGGAGCTGACACGGACACATGAAGCTTGAACTCTCTCCTGCAGGCGGGCCAGGGGAGCAAGAGGCAGCTGTCGGCCTCCATGATGTAAGGCAGGACTGAACTTCCGAAAGTGTCTTCTGCGCTGAGCCCCGTCCAACTGCATTGCTGTCCCAAACACGGTGGTCGGAGCTCCGCATCACGGCGGGATACAAGCTCGTCAAGGAAAGATGAAGCCACTGGCAGCCTCATAAGGACACCAGCAACGCGAATCTCAACGCTGTCGGATACAGCAGCAAAAATCGTGTGAGTGCACCATTTGCAAAGGCAGTTGATAATGCCCCAGGCCACGCACCATCGACGACGCAGCACAGGAGTTTCCTTGGCACATTGGCATTGATAATCATTGATGCAACCGACAGGCTTGGCGAGTAATGGGGCTCATGTATTGCAACGCGCAAATTTACATGCTGATTGAGCCCAGCTTCGGAGTGATCGCCCACTGCTCAATCAGCAAATGGGTGCACTGCAGCGTCCATTCCGAGGTGAGAAACCTGACAAAGGAGTGGCTGCACTTAGATGCCACGCCCCACTCACACCAACCCACACATGATGTAGTGGCTTTGCAAAATGCCAATCCAAACCATCCCATACAAGAACCTTGCAGGCTACGTCTGCATCTGCATATGAGTCTAGATTTGACCTTCCATTACCCTGCTTACACATACATGCGCGCAGGAGTTGCCGACTGCTCATATGCAGACCTGAATTTCTCGCACAAACCACGCAAGTGCTGCTGCCGGCAGTTTGAATGCGCCCAAGCTGCACGCCACAGGCCCGTGCCACGTCTCCAAGGTTTTGCAGTTCTGGCGCTGGCAAGCGGCTAGAGACGCTGAGGAGGATGGGCTTCCACTTCCTTTGCTCTGAAATTCTTCAGCTTTGGCATTTTCATGCAGTATCTACACCTTCATGACAAGCATACCCTGATGCCGTTCACATCGGCCCTGCGCTGTCCTGTCTAGTGCGGCTTCATCAGTGGTGTCCAAATCCACATGCAACATGGCAAGTCATGGATGGGCCATGGTGCGCTGTGCAGTGAACCAAAACACCCAGTTAATGACAAAATGGCACTTACGAAGTTGCTGGCTAGTCAGACTCCAGGATCCGGGCCCAACAAGGCGTAAGCTTACAGCATCCTGCTCTTTGAGACGAGATTGGCAGCCCTGCCAATCTAGGAAACCAGATCAGGCACCAAAAAGCGTGCTGCCGCGGCACACAGTGTAGCGAACTGGATCGATGCCGCAAGTGAAAAAATCTCCATCCTTCAGCTTCACTGTGACTCCTTTGCCTGGTGTCTTCATCTCGTTGACAAATGTATGGCCCGTGGATGAGCGGTCAATGATGCAAATTTCCAATGGGCATACGTCTGCCAAAGAACCTGCACGGATAAGGCATTCCAGTGTAGAGTTCCGCTAATTGCAGTCAGTTTTGTGGGCCTTCCTTCGTGGAAACCACCAGCTCTGCATGCACTCTCGATACTGACCTCAGGATGCCAGAAGGCTGGAACGCCAACACCCATCACTTGGTCTACAAGCACACCCATCACTTGGTCTACAAGCCATGGTGCTGGTGAGTCGATCGAAGGTGAGCAGTCTGCCCTCGACCAATCTGTGCGGTACCGGGCAAGAGGAGCAGCTGCGCATCATCAGCAGCTGAGCCTGCAGAAGAGGAAGTTGAAGCGACCCTGCATGCTATGCTGCTCGAGGCAACGCTGGAGCCTTCCAGCGCCAAGCGCCAGCTCATTGCCTCAAATGGCAACCTCAACGTTGCCAAAGGATGCCCCAACGAATCCCTGCTAGAGTCGATCCCTTCGAACCTCTACTTGTAGGGCATGTGGCGTAGTGCGACGCACTTCGCAAAGTCCAGGAAAGTCAACGCGCCCGCCATGGATGGCAAAGCAGGGCAAGCGATCTACATTATTGTCTGGGATACTTCTGCGGGCTGAACTTACTGGGTTCAGCCTTTGTGAGGCTATCTAAAGCCTGTAGATACTGGGGATTACTGGGTTGGAATAGGCTTCCTCGCGCTTTTGCATGCAACTTGGATCTTTCATGTCATCCTGCAAGCTGCTAGGATGCAGCAGTGATGGCGAAGGATTCGGCAGATTTGCCGCACAAAGCTTTGCAAATGCCATCTCCCACGTCTCCCACCTCCAGGTCTGGCAGCAACCGCCTGGCCACGGCAAGGAGAACAAAGATAAGGAATGAGGGATGCAGTAGAACGCTAGTAGCACACGATCTTGGCATGACGCCTGTAGGTCTGCAGAAGCTTCAGCTCGTATCTCTCCAAAGCCAGGACCGGCCTAACATGCTCAGGCTTCGCTATGCGCCCGTGGGCCCCTTCAAGTGCGTTTTCCCGATGATGGAAACATCTAAGCTCTGACAAGCAGGAACCCCTGTGTTGCCTAAACCATCGGCTATTGGAAATATGCCGGGCTTATGGCTTGGATCGAATCTGCGCCCTCTCCTGCTCGGTGGGCTCGCGGATTCGGTAGCCTCTTTTCGGTGTCTGACTTAGATGTGGTTAGGACTGCAGCGACTTGTGTTGATACGTGCCAGAAGCATGCTTCCCCAAGGCCAGCCTATTATAAATTCTTAGCGTGTAAGAGTTCTGTGACTGGGATCAGTTCAAGTCCAAGCCTGGGACGAGATCCTTGAACACTGCAACGCCTGACAGCAATGCCATCAGCCGGGTCTCGCGGTCCTTGCTGACACCTTGGCCGGCTTACTTTAGACAAAAAAGCTGCAAAGCTGCGGTCATCGGCATCAGGTGCCAAGCGATGCAGGTGGAAGAAGATGTCGAACAAATCCAAATCCTGCAGCCCCCTCTAAGACTTGGGGGCCTAAGAGAATGAGTGAGCCTTATGACCAATTGCAGCTTTTGCACGAACACAGTCCTTCTCAGGCTCTGCGGCAATGCGCTCGGCTGCAGTCGCAAGTCTGGGCTGGTTCGCAGTGCTGAACGAAGGAAGGAGACACGGAATGAAGTAACGGAGCAACGACGCTCAATGGTGAGACGTTGTCATTGAGTTGACAGATTTGGCAAGCCTTCAGGCTCATTCAATTGATTTAGCCGCACGCTGCTTGGTGCATGTTTTGCTCCAAAGAGCAAAGCGTGGCACCATGTGGCACCACAATGCAGCACTGCTGGCATGGTTGGTGAGTTGGCCTCTAAGATTAGCCCTCGTCCAATGACATGCAGACATGTCGTGTTCAATCTTATGCGCCGTAGACCAATCTCAAAAGGCGCGGCAAAGATGAATTGGCTACAATTTAATGTCTGTGGGTTCCGGGCAAGCGCCGATCGCCAGCCGGCCCTGCGGAGTGCTGCGCAAAAGCAAAAGCACGCGCGGCAAAATCAAGAGGCAGGCACCGCAAGTAGACATCAACGCTACTCTTCCGCTGAAAATTTGCCAGTGCCCTGGTCAAGCAAAATTCACACCTCACGTCTCCGGCCTCCAGAGCGTAGTTTGTCAATGAGCTCAGTGGCCGCCTTCCATTGTGGGCAATACCAGAGTTGCACTGTTGCCCGCTGCAAGCTAAGTGCCACTTGTACAATGAATTTCAGAAAACTGGTCAGCTCACTTGTTCAGCACTGCAGGAATCTGGTAGTTCAGGGTATAGGCTGGTTGGCTTTCGCCCTTGTAGAGCAGCGTCAGTTCACGGCTGCTGAAGGTTGACAAAAAGGATCAGCAAAACATGGGCGCTTGGCGCCCAGACATACAGAGGCTGAGCCCCTCACCTATGAGTTGATCACAAGTGCTGGGCCAGCCTGCAAGAGCTGTTTTTCGCCTCCTGTACGGCGAGTTGAATGTATATATGAGTGGGCTCTGGTCTGAAGTTTTCTCTCTTGGAATTGGTATCTATTGGGAATGGCACCCCAATCAAAAGGTGCCACACTCACTGCAGAAGTTCAGACAAGGGCCCAAGTGAGCGGGCAAGCTCATGGAAAAGTTGAATTTCCTGGACTCAGCGCATCTCAAGGACGCCCGCGATGAGACCCAGGATGCCACATGCAACCACAACGATGGGCGCTTGGACTTGCGTAAGGATCTGGCGGTCCTTGAATTTAAGCCAGTGTACTCCCCAGAAAGCAACAAGCCCGATGCATGTCGATGCTTCCTTTGGAATCGGGCCGTTAGGCTTGGTGTTGTTCTCTCGCACTCCAGCTCCCATCTGGACCAGTGCTGCGCAAAGCAAGCCAACGGCGGCTGCATTGAGGCCAGGCAATGCCCGCTTGTAAGTGTCGTTGGAGCGGAACTGGCCCCAGAAAGGGAGGATCCCGAAGATGAGCATTACACCAGGCCCGAAGAGGCCCAGCCAGCAAAGCCCGGCCCCTAATACACCCTCCCCAATGGTGACATAAGCTTTGTAGCCGGCAGCAGCCCCCAGGTAGGCGGCGAAGTTGAACAGCGGCCCTGGCATTGCCTGGGCCAGGGCCAATCCTGCGAAGAAGACCGATTGGTCCACCCAACCTGTGGGCACCATCTCGTTCTCCAGCAATGGAAGGACCACCTGGCCACCACCCCAAATCACGGTTCCTGTGCGCCAGAAGGCGGCGAACCAGAAGAGGCGCTTAAACTCCGCCTCCTCAAGCACAGATGGCAGGACGTAGCTTGCAATGAAGATGAGAGCCACGATTGCAATCAGGATTGCCCCACCTACCGGCCCCAGGCCAAAATGCTCCACTCCACTCTCTTCTGCAGTAGGAGCCGTTGTGGTCTTGGACTCGGGCAGCGGGCCTCGCCAAAAGTAGGTGAAGGCTCCACCGAAGATGATCAGGGTTGGGAAGATCCACATCCAGTTGCGGCCGTTTCGCTCCACTGGTGCAATCAGCTCTGCACTGTAGTACAGCAGCACAACGCAGCAAAAGCCTGCCAACACCTTGGCGTCAGCAGTCGCGCCGCAGGCCTTGTTCCACAGCCCGATGGCTGCCGAGGCCACAAGGGCCACACCTGCAGCACTCAAACCCCCAACCAAGCCGGCCAGCCAGGTGTAGTCGCTGATAACCTGACAGAAATCATATTCACCACATGGTCCGCTTTACACCTTGACCTGGAAACAGCGCATGGGTCCGCCAGCTCAAACATCTCGGTTCTGAGATCGAGACCTGTGGGGTGGCCCAGTTGTGTGCCGTCAACCCAAAGATTGTCATCATGATCGCGCCCGGGTACTGAAACAGAATGCCACTTAGCAGCCTTAACAGAAGAGCGAGGCTGCACATACTTGTCAAATGCACTAGTAACAGGACACCGATCATGTGCAATCTCTCAGCCCGGAAAGCTGTCACCTGATTGCAGGATTAAACTATCCTCCTGATGACCACGACATCTGAAGTAACATACTCTCTGCCTGTTCTGGGATCAGGTCCGCTGCTTTGGATTTCTTGCCGGGAGGCCCACCAGCAATGCCCTTCTTGGTAGTGCCCAGAGCAAAGGACCTCCCAGATTAAAAGAAGCAAAACATGTTCATTCAAGCATTCGGGCTAGGAGCCCAATCGATTTGAGTCCAGATCAAATGGAATGCAACGGAGGTGCATCTGGGTCGAGCTGGGCCCAGGCCTTCGCCAGGCAGCGTTGCTTTTTCCGACATGCCCAGTGTGTCTTGCTCACTTGGCCAAGCAACATGCACTGACAGACGGCGAAGAGCTCCGTGAAAACGTCAGCGCTCATCCATCCCAGCCGTTCAACGAAAGTCTTCCTCAATGGCTTGGCAACGAAGACAGCCCCCAGCAGTGGCAACGTGCAAGTTGGATTCTGTGGCATGCAACATACAACAAGAGTTTGTAGGACGCCAAGGTTCTGGAAAAGCCCAACATGTGCAGCAGGTCCTTCGCAAAGGCTAAGTTGCACAGTTGCTTGCTTAATGCAGCCAAAATCGCTGCAACACTGAAACAGCTTCATTCACTTTCATTCAGTTGAACACGTCTCGCAACATCACACCGGCGTCCTCCGAAAGCGGTCCAGCCCATCAGGACAAAGTGCTTGGCGATTTCTCCGAAGCCCACCTGTCCGTTTTGAGCTGCAATCCCTATCGGCAGTGCGTGGCTTCAATTTCTCCTGACGCTAATAATGCCAAAAGTTTTCAGGAGGACATAGTTGTCTGAAATCACAGTCAAGAGCAGCTTCACTTGCGGGTAATGCGAGGGGTAGGGGGACTGTGAATCTCATTGGCCAAGATCAAGGAATTCAGCTGACTAGGTGCAACCATAATGGCTTGCAAAGGGAGGGCGGCAGATAACCTGGCCTTGTAATCAAAATGTGTTTGGCCCTGTGTGGTTCTACTTAATATTTTGACGACCAGGGGGCTGGGGGCCTTGTTAGTAGGGGAACGGGCTGTCGACAATTTCTTGCGAAGCTCCAAGCTACTGGTGTCTCAACTATGGGCAAACCTCACATGTCGATTTGCCTTAGCCGGTGCGGGGCTCCTCGCCACTTCCACATCGATCTCTGCGCTGGCCATTGTCCCTAACGAGCCGCTAGGACCCTGTAACAGAATGGAGCCTAAATGCTCCCAAGCAAAAACATGCATGGGCCAAGCCTTGCATGAACGTGCAAAACGATTCGTGCGCTGTTGTAAGAGACGGGCAAGCATTCAATCAGCCTGCCTTCGAGATTTGGCCATCTTTGGCTTTCGCCTGCAGCTCACGTGCGGACTGGTACCGTGGACCTCATGATTTGCGAGGTTGCCTTAGCTGAGGGATGATGTTTACATTCTGCGGCTGCGCAAGAAGCCAGCGCAGGTGCACAAGTCATCTCGAAAATGCTTGGCTGCCTCACAGATAGAGCCCGGCCTTTCCCTTCACAGCTTGCGCTGCCTCGCCAGGGAAGCAACAAGCTTTGGTATGCAATTTCTTGGTCCTCTCCACCCTATTAGCCATCTTTTTTGGGGGCCTTAATACGGCTAGAACAAGGTGCGCATCTGTTTAGCTTGACTTTTGGAGAAGTGGCCCGAAGCGCATGCCGGCTTTTCTGAAGGGAGTTTAAAATGTTAAGGCTTGAACGAGGTCTCTCGTTGTTTAGATTTATCCTTGAAGCCGCGACCCTGGTTGAAACCAGCTGAATTTCCATCAGCTTCCGGATTTCAAGATTCCAGGAAAACTTTTCATTTTCTGGACATCTTGGATCTTGAGTTGGGCCCCGATTGAAAACTCAATCGCTTGCGCTGGCTTCAATGACCCAAGAATCCCTGTTTTCCAGCTGAGGTTATAAATATAGGCGAAGTTGGGGACTCAGGATTTATTAACTTCGTTTTTTTTTTCAGCTGGAGTTCAGTAACGGTCAAAAAACGTAGTTTTGATAAGAACGCCCAAAAAGACGTTGCACATGAAAGACAAGCCTCAATCCAGTACCCGCTGGCTCAGTGATCTTTTTGAAAAAAGCTCTAGCAAGGAAATTCTGAACGAAAACCAAGAACTCAGGATCAATCAGATTTGTTAGCCTCCTCTTCTGATATGCAGCATTAGAGAACTTGCAAAATGAACAAGCAGTAAAGGCCGAGGGTTGCTTGGCTCTACGGTATTAAGCAGGGAAGCGGGATCCGGTGGTTTGGTCCTCCCTCCTTTCCCCCAAAATTTCACATGGAATTAACACAAGACATTATTTTTCAGTTTTTAATCTTACGTATTACTTATGTAGCGACGACATCAAGCAAGGAGTTAATCAAAGATACAAAAAGGCAAGCAACAGCAGGAGGCTGCCGCTGCTCGCTGAAAACGGGGGCTCACGGAGCCAGGCCACCAGGGAGAGGGAACCAATCCCCTCTTCGCAAAAGCTCTTCCACAGGGTATGCACCTCAGAGCAGCTGGTGCTTGGTAGCTCTTGTCGAGCCCATCCAGAGGCTCAAGGCTTCGCAAAAGGGAAGGACTTGCTGCACCCCACCCACCAGCAGCCGCTAGAGATCGACCGGTGCGCGTCCTCATGCTGCAACGTGACAGGCCGGTGTCTGGAACTGTCGAGCTGCATAAGTGGGCACAATCTCACCACCAGAGGCCTCCTTCACCAACAGCAGAAGCACAGTCTCTTGTGAGCAGTCAGTCAAAGGTGAAGTTACGAAAGGGGTGTCAAAGACCCACTCAAATGTTATCAGGAGCTTTTGGAAATGAAGCAGGACTCCAAGATTTCCTTGCTTGGTCCGCCCAGAATGTGCACAGCTTCTTGGTCTTTGCCAATCAAATCCAATAAAGATTTTCCAGCAAGAATCCAGCCTTTCTCACGTGAGTCCTCGTAGTCCTTCTTGGATTGTGTTAGAGAGCAAGACCAAGCCACCAGATCATGGACTCCTCATTTTCCTATGCGACAGTTTTTCGAGCTCATTAGAAAAGAGCGCCTACTCATCAGATCCTGTACGCTTGTTTTTCCTAGAGACACTCCTTACTAGATTTCAGTAGGACGTCCTGGTGCCTTTGCTTTGCTTTGATTCTTTGTTTCTTTCCTCTTCTATGGTGGGATAACCTATTGGCCCATCCCTGGGATCTGTCCGTGGGCTCGAAGCGCTCATTCCGGCAGCAAGGCAGCACCATGCTGGCATTCAGCATGGCCACCCTCATGAAGCCTATGATCGCTGGACCCGAGAGATCCATTAAGGCAGTAAAGAACTACTTGACCAAAAAATGAACTGGAAGATTCCTGGTGCTCCTCTCATAATTCATGCGTTGATGCAACTAGAAAAAAAGGAACCAACATCAGTCACTGGTTTTCCAGCTCTCGCATTTAATTTTATAGTCATGCTTACTGAAAGGATCAGTCCAGTTCCAGTTAGTGGCAGGGGACGAGACAAAGACCCACTCAATTTCTGATTTGTTGAACATAAGTCTTTGCTGGGTTCCTTGCGAAGGAGGACCTATCCAACAGTTCAGCCAAACAACCAGACCCCGTACTGGATTCCTGGTCTGTCTTCAAAAAGTTCTTACTGGATTGCATTCCAAATCAAGGCCAAATAGCCACGGTTAGCATACAATATCGGATACAGAAAGGACTGGCCAGTCAACCGCAACTAGAAGGAGTTAAAGTTCCACTTCACAAACAGAAACCTACATGCAATGTATGTTGCTTTGCTTGGCTTTGATTTTTACTTTCTGGAGGGTTTTCTCTGTTTTGTAAGTTTGGGATTCTTTTTTGGTTGCGTCCTGGAATTCGTACTGCCATATACATATTCGGGCGAAAATTGCCAACAGTGCTAGCTAACATGCTTGCATCCGTGACCAGCGAGCACTTCTGGCTGCCTCGTCAGCGGCTTTCTTCGCCGCGGCTGCAGATGTGTTAGCCGTCCGGGCCTTTGCAGGCAATGCCAGGTAGGCAAGAGAGCATGAACTCATGAGAACTGGCCAGTTTTCAGCTGCATCTTAGGATTCTTTGCCTTCCCCCTGCCATAGCTTTTAGCTTCTCAAGCTTGAGGCCAGATGACGAAAACACTGCAAAACCCCAAATTGCGTGCAAAAGCACTTTAGGTATGTCCCCAGCCTTCTTCGCCTGCAGCTTCTCGATGCGCTTTTGCTTCTTCCTGTGCCAAGGCGACGGCTCGAACAAAAGCGCTACTAGCCGCTACTAAGCCACTGTTATCTTCAGGAATACCAGCAAAGTCGCCGTCCTCCCCACTGGCTGCTCATCGCCAGCACCCGCCTACCACACCGCGGCAAGGTGGCAACAAAGACTTAGCAAGCAGTGCTCCCTCTGCAGGTCTGAGCTCAGCATAGCTGAAAAAGCCAAGCATCAGCACACTCTTTGGGCACCTTCCCACTGCTGCGGCCACGCTTCTTGCGCGGCCTGAGCTGAAACGTTCGTCAAAATTCTTGGAGAATCCATTTGGAATGGTTCCATTGATTTGGATCTAGTTTCCTGCTATGTCAAGATGAATGCATGGTTTTACTCATCTTTTTGGCTCACCTGGATCATGTACACTCAACATTACTTCTCAAGATTCAGCCATCTCGTTTCTAGTGCTTGTGTTGCTTTTGGGGGTTGAGGCAAATGCCAGCCATTTACAGCAGTCCTTACATTGTCCCTAAAATCTGCTTGGACAGTGCATGCCTGGCTTCTGCGCTGGCAATTTGAATTTAATGCATCATAACATGAATGCTTGGGCTTTTCCTCTGCAGCTGTTGCCACGTCTCATGGCCTCGCAAGGTCTCTGTCCAGGTCAGACTCCCGGCTCTTTGCCTTCCAATGTCCTGGTTGCCTCCGAGCCTTGTACCAATTGCTTGCGGCTTGTCTGGATCTTGCCCGCATGGAGTCTCATGGCCTTCTACATCCTTGTCAGCATGGGAAAGGGGAAGGATTCCAGGATAGTCTCAAGTCCTACGTGCTGCTTGGTGCGCCCGTAAATGGGCGCGAGAGACTCCAGGGGATCGTCCTTTCAGCCGTGTGGAAAAGATCTCTTATAGTGATAGTGGATTTGCACATTCCCTATATACTATATACACAGGACCCTTGTAAACTGAGCGCAAGAGGTGGGTGTACTGCGCGTCATTCAGGCACGGGAAGTGTTTCGGGGCATGGTTGGCTTCAGGTCCCTAAATATCTTTCAGCAGTACACCCCGGCGTCAGTTCAATGCTGGTCGCAGATTTCGCTTGAGTCACCTCATAGTCCAGCAGGTCCGCGGCTCCAAACCATTGAGGATAGAGGATGTTGATCCCAAGGCAGCCACAGACAATTTTGCGAAGGACTTCTTCATAGCATCACAAGAGATACCGGATCTGGCCATGGCGCTGTAGCTCACTATAGCCGCAGTAGTCTACTTAAAGCTTTGCATTTTACGTCACCAGTCGCTGCTCAATTGCCGGTGGTTCCATCCCCTGCCTTCAGCGCCCTCAATGGTACGCCCTGACGGGATGCAGCGCAGGTTCGCACTTCGCGTCCATCTGCAACGATGCAACAGCTTAGCTTTCGCATGTCACGAATGAAAACTGTGGAAGTGGAACCTGCGCATGGCTAACCTAAGCCGCCGTGGCTTAGCCTAACAGAATTCCACCTCTCTCTCTCTTCCCCAAGCTTCCATCACAAGTTGGTGCCCAAAGCTGGGGAATAGCTAGAAGCCCTTGAGCTACAGCTCGTTGCTGATGCATGGAAGATTGGGGTGCTTATAGACAAAGCTTTAAAATTTACTGATGGCCAGCCGGTCATGTAGGATGCCAAAAGCCGTCCACCTACCAGCCCAGCAGGCCGTCAGTAGACAAAGCTTTAAAAGGGGTCCACCCCCAGCGCCAGGAGAGCATTTTTTGCCGCCGTCCGGACACCTGTGTCATATCTCATGAAGCAAAGCTTATTAACTAACGCAACGTGTGGTAGTCCCTTTCGGTTTTTGAGGCTTTTGTCATTGCAGTTAGCCTGCCGTTCTAAATGCTGGCATGCCCCGAAGAGTCAGCTGTAGGCCGAACTACAAGGCCGGAATGTGCTCATGTGTTTCCAGGTCCCGAACCTGACCCTGCGCTATGATCATTACACACCGAACATGGTCAAGCTGGATGGCTTGCAACTTGTCAATGCAAAATGATTGGCTACCCTGCACAACTTCTCTCATGTACAGGCTGCTGTTCGATGCATGAGGAAGGCAAGCTGCTGATGTCGGAGTCTTTGTGCACCAGCCGCTGTAGCACCCGGATTGACTCTCTGTCGCCATTCCTAGGACTAGCACGATTCCATTCTACATTCACATGTTGACACGCTGGTCTGCAGCTCAGCTGATTGAATTCTGAGGTGGATGCTGTACAAGGCGAACGGTAGCTCGTGTGGCTGCAACACGAACTCCAGCGTCCATGTGCTTTAGGCAAGGCGCCACCTGAGACACCGGTCAGTCCAGCCACCAAGCACGAGAAAGCCAGCCACAGCTTTACCTCACGGTGACACGGCCTGACTCTTGAGTGCAGACAGCTCGGGTGCAATGATCTTGCCATCCTTCCCTGAGAGCGCCAGCGTCTGATGTCAACGAGAGTGGTTAGAGTAGTAATAGGACCTGTTGAACATCAATAGTATGAAAAGGGCGATCGGATCAATGCACTGTTCCAGCACCAGCTCCAAGTCTGATCTTGCAGGCAGCTAGGCTGGGGATGGGTTTGATGAGAAACTTGTGGTTCCTTAAATGCTTGTGCAAGAATTGCCAGCCCGTGTCCAGCATCAGGCAGGTCAATGGGTTTACCTCCACTCTGCGCAGCCTCCAGGAAGCTCTGCCAACGCTTGCAACGCCAAAGCGCGTACCTTACTTCTAAAACTCTTCCTGCCCAAAGCCTTGCATGCTCATTGCTGAAGCCTTGTTGCCTCCACAATGTCTGACGCACTACATGAGTCCAAACAGTCTATCCTCTTGATTGTGTTGCCAGACTACATACTTGGCTATGCAAGCTGCCATGCACACAGGTCTTTCCAAAGTACACGTGGCCCAAGCCTGATGTCAGTCAGTGCATTGACATCATTGAGTCAAGCTTCTGCAGCGCAAGAATCTGCTAAACAGGCGGAGAGAGCTTGAGCAGCCATGGGAGCAAAACTCGTCTCCTGGTTCCAGTGTGAGGGCGACACGGGATCCTAGTAGGGTGGAGCATGAACAGGCAATCCGTGCACTCTGCCGACTGCTGCAGATTCCCTTTCCAAGTGCTGGCTTTGAGATGAACGGTGCGCGCCAGTATGCTAAAACTGAATCAAGCTGACGTAGCCTCTGCCGCCTCTGGCCGACGTCGACCATTACAGCGCTCACAGCGACGCCGCGCTGCAGCATTGAGCACAGCACCGGCAGCTCCAGCTACGGAGCTCCGCACGGACCTTGTTAGTTGTAACCATGACAGACTTGCCGCCCTTCTTGGCCATCCATACTTGTGGGTCCATACTTGTGGGCAAGGAGCGGATCAGGATGTTGAAGGCGAGCTAAAACTGCCAGAAAAGCGAATTCCACGTTCTCTGCATACTGGTCACATTCACCTGCAAGCCCGTTCTGAAATCTCCCAACATCTGCAACTCAACAGAAACTTCCCGCAGCATCCGGACTCAAGTAGCCAGCAACTAAAGGCAGCACTTCGGCACTGCTACTACCTGCCAGGCCTGGAGGAGTGCAGCTCGGACCTCAGCTGTGCACTGGTGTTCTGGCACAAGAGAAAAGACAGTGCTGCATCCTGTGTATTCGTGTGCCAGCTGCAGCAGGGAAGCAGCTGCTCATGGAGACGCAGCGGGCAAGCCCGCGCGCAGCCGCCGTCCGAACCAAAGCACTTCGGTCATGGAGCAGGGCGCTTAAAGCGAACCTGTGCTAAGCAAGCGGCAGCATGTAGAACATAGCTCGAACACGCTGCGCATAAACGGCTGTGTCAGAAGGCAAGTGGCCTGGCTGCTTGATCGAGGAGCTCCGGGCAAGCTGCTAAAGCCTAGAGGCTGACTCAGCATCACTCTCCGACAGGTGATGCGCACTCGTACTGCCCTGCTGCTGTCAAGTACAGGCATTCTTCTGGCTTTGCCCTGGTGCCTCTGCTGCCGCTGCTCGCACGGTGTCGCTTGGGTCTAGCAGCCTGCGCCTCAAAGCGTCTGCCGGAGCATCACCTGAGCCCAGAAGTCCTTCGTGACAGTAAAAATTCTTGCTATGCTACCTGGCTATCTTGCCGTCTCTAGACCACGCCAGTTTCAGAACGGGCCCACTGGGTACACTTGGTTCATCAGGCTTCTGAAAAGTTACCCACTCCTTTTCATGGGAAGATTTTTCCACCATACATGGATCCGCAAACTCTCAGGTTCCCAAGCTTGGCAAAGCTAAGACCCCGGTATGTGTACGAATCCCCCATATATCCCCTATAGTGACCCTATATAAGAGAATATGCCTCTATAATAGCCCCTATAGAATCTAAAGAGTAAGCGAGGCCGGGATGCCCATGATGCCCAGCATCTGAACTGCGACCAGCCTGACCGATGATTTTCACCAGTTGCATGAATGCGGGATATTGAGGATTGTATAGGGATAATGGAAAAGAACATGGAAACCATAAAGATTATATGGGGTTATATAGGGAGTGTAGGGTATGTATATATATATATACACTGGAGGGGAATCAGTAACAGTAACAGTAGTCAGCAGCAATATAATGCAAGACAGTCAAGCCTCACATTGCATGACTGGGTTTTGCAGCGCCTTGATCGCTCGTCGTGACTCTCCAGACGCTCCAAGACCTCTATCCAGGGCTCATGTCCACTTGGGTAGCTGGATTGGAACCGGCAAACAGGAGGGATTGGTGACTTGCGGGGTGGTAGAAAAGAGAATGACCCCTCCTCTCGATCAAGTGCAAGACGAACCTAGTCGAAGGAGGGCACATGGCTAGAATGGCTAGATGAACCCCCTTGGGGTGAACGGTTAAGCGAGCATCAACAGGGTGCAACGAAAGCCTGAAAGGGTTGGACCAAGCTTCTGAAAACTTGTGTCTAGTGCCCCCCCCCCCCATGAGATGTAACCT